TGAAGGACCCAAAACCAGGAAAAACTCTACTATTGTGTAAACAGTGTAGCTATGAAACTTTATTTTTAGTCTTTTGAATTTAGTTCTCTCATAAAATTTCTTGAAGTCAAGGCAAACATTTCTAGAGTCCTGAGCTTGATCTTGTCTATTTTAAAGTAATTTTAATGGTAGAAAGAACTAGACTCAGATCTGTGTGCACAAGAAACCTGAACACTTCTGGCACCCACTTCTGCATTAACTTGTGCCAGAATTGTATTTGCAGCAGGGAGATGTTCATTTGCATCCTGGCCCATTCTCCATGGCTGTGGGAATATTTGCTCAGTTTGCCTAGTTAACATGTGACTCAGGTAGGTGCACATACGGATTTCACACACATACTTCTTTCATGTACACACAAGTAGGTTCCTGCTTTGAAAAACTGAATGCATAAAGCATCTGCTGGCAAGAAGTTATGCATTCATTTTATTTTCAAATGCCATGATGTGTGAAAGAACCTGGATAACTTCAAACTAGGAAAAGAAAAACAAATGCTTTTGTAATTTGAAAAACAAACCATAATGCAGCCTCCAGGTTATGAAGACCTTTAGCTGCTCTTGACATCTTCATAAACCCCACCAGCACCAATGAGCAATGATTACTGAATGCTGACTTTAAAGCCAACAGGCTCCTTCAGCACTGAGGAGGGGAGGATTACCCCTGGGGATTAGGTGGGCTGCCTGCCCTGCACCAGCAATGCCTGTTGGAAGGCATGACACAGGACACGTGTGACATCCCCCCATGTGTTTTTAGGCATGACACAGGACACGTGTGACATCCCCCCACGTGTTGGAAGGCATGACACAGGACACGTGTGACATCCCTCCACGGTGCAACAGGGACAACTGCATCAGCACTGGAGCTTGCCCTGCTGCGTCCCACCAGGCATAGACACAGGAGGGGCTGCCGTGGGGAAACGAGTAGTGCAGGCATGTTCCTCAGAAAGGAACTTAAACTTGGCTGCTGCAGTGTTTGGGATCACTGAAGGAGCTGAACTCCCTTCCAGCTTTCTCATTACTTGTCGTTTTTCCAGCACTGGCCTTCCGACACTGGACTTCCTTCCTACCCAGATCCGTCTGCTGAGCTGGTCGGTGTCAGGGAAACAAGATGGGAACGTCATTATCAAGACCTGATTCTGTTCAACCTCCGTCATCTGAAACATGTTCAAGGATCACAACCCGTTTTTTTCCAATTTAAAGCAGTTTTGGCTGAGCTGGCTTTGAGATGTTGTACCACTGATAATGAAAAAGGAAGAAAAATAAGATATGAGAAGGGTTTGAGCATGTCCCAGAAGTCCTACAAAAATTACACCTCTGCTATGGAAAAGCATCGACAGTCATAAAGAAGCCATAGCTATAGAAAGGCTCTCTTGTGTCCTTCCCCTCTCTGCCTGTGAGGGGAATGGGAGCTATGTTCCCTGCACCACTGAGTGGTGAGCTTGCATATGTGGCCTTGCAGTGATTTTGCCATCAGGAAGACAGTTTATGTACACAAGATGTGAACACTGACCTCTTTGCCTGAAAAGAGAGGGAGAAGTCCCCATTAACAGGCAGTGTCCTCATTCTGTCTCCAGCAGCCTCTATAGTACAGCTCAGTGCCATACCCACAACCCTTTCTGCAAAGTTTTTATTGTGTTTTTGTTCTTGCACGCATGCACAGACCCCAAATCCCTTGATCTTGCTTGGACACCCAGGCAGTTCCTCAGACTCCACTGCTGCACTTCATGACCTGGACATGCTTTGGTGCTCCTTGTCCTGGGAAGCAGCTCCTGTGTTTTTCAATGCCCTGACTTCTTCCAGTTCACTGAACTGCTTCTTCCATTTAGGCCCTTGACTTTGGCTGAGCCCATAGGCCCCTGCAGGTCAACAGCAGCTATTAGCATTATCTTGCCTAACAATTTGTTTATGCAGCAGGAGTGAAAGGGACACTAATCTAGTTGAAGCATTTAAGCACTTCTAAAATACAAAAATCAAAAAATTATTATTTGGCTTGTTTGAAAGATTCCATTCTTCACAGCAAACCCTTTCAGAAGGAAAACTGATGGAGAGTTTTGCTAAGCCTTGTCTGTGCTGAGCAGCTTTCTAGTGATTAGAGATGGAAGTTTGGAAGTATCGAGTGCTTTGCCCATCCCACCACACATCCTGGCTTCCTTGCAGGGAGTCACACTGAACACTACAATTGCAGTGTGAGTAATTACAGATGCTGCCAGAAACAACACTGTCAGGAAAAGTTTGTAGTTGAAATTAGGAATTTGCTTTCTGCTATTCTCTGGCAAACTTTGGAGCAGCTGACTTTGGAATTTTATAACAATTTTATCTGTGGCAAACCTGGGCATCCAATAGCTGAACTCCCAATTAAACATCTGGTTTTATCTTCTGTTTCTGCTCCTACTGCATAAACCTAAATTTCAGAAACCACACTGCAGGTGTGACTGGCAGGCCTGAGGCAGGACTGAGGTCAGTAATGCTGGTAGGGGCAGAGAACTCTCAAGACTCCTTTTCTTTCTCACCCTCAGTTCAAGAGCCCAAAGTTGTTCTTGGCGTACACAAAGACTCAGGGCACACAAACACAATTATGAGCCTGCACTCCCAGGACAGGGAACACACACATCAGGTATCAATTGCAGTGCCTCCAGTTGGAAAGACAATCTGGGACACAGTTTGCCTTGAGCCTGTCCCTTAGCATCTCTTACACTATCTTTATTTTCAAGACTAAAACATCATCTCTGTTTTCTTTACAGATCCAAGCTGGGCAGAAAGAGGGAGGAGGAAGCAGTGAAGGCTGCTATAAAGTCTTTTCTGTACTGGGGATCCATATCTCAGATGATGGCCTTGGGAAACTTTATTATTTACCTCTGTTGGAATGGGGAAGGGAAGTAGCTGGAATAAGCACAGCTCATGGATACACACAGTGCAATTGTCTACAGGAGCATTGCATGGGAATCCCACTGGAGCACCAGACACAGCAGACACAGCCCAAACACAAAGTGTGTGTGAGGCATTAAACATTTCCTTTCCTTTCTCTATTACCTTTGCACAACAGGACAGAAACCATCTAAATATCTCTTCATTGTAAATTTTTTGAAACTGCTTTAAAAATACACTTTTTCATTAGCAGCAGCACTGATCCTTTATTAATTAATGAAGAAAAAACATAAAATAAGTGGTAAGACCTGATCACTTGGAAACAGATGTCTGATTTTATAACTTGGCCTGAACACTTGGCCTTGAAGCTACACAGGAATGTGAGTGCTATGACAACTGGCACTGTAACACCTGATTTTTGCAAGCCTGTCCTTTTCCTTCCTTTTTTATGTACCTAAAGCTGCTGTAACCAAAGGAGCACATTCATTAACTAGGCTTTGCACCTCGGAATGGGATCTACAACAACCCACCAACCTAAACATTCAGGGTATTGTACATGAGCTACCTAAATGAGCAAGGGAGGAATCAGCTGGAGAAAAGGGTGTGTTGCAGCCTCCTCCTGCACAGGGATTAGGTGCCTTGTTCAGGTTTAGTGGGACATGCTTCTTTTCACTCTGGATTCACAGCCCTGAAAGCTTAATTATAGCTTTTCACCTTGCATTGATTAACATGAGAAATGAAGAGACCTCTCTTCCGTCTGCTTTTTCTCCACCCACTCATTATCCCTGAATAACACATCGCCTGTGGATTCTCACTCTCCATAGGTGCAGGGTTGCATGCCTGCTGGGGAGAAGGGACCCGAGTGTAACTTGGATGAGGCTGCAGATGAACCAGGGCAGAGGCCTCCTTTTGGAGGGAAGGGAAAGGGTCTTGTGTAGCTTAGTGCGAGCAACGTGGTCTGAGAGACCCTGCTATACCAAGACAAGCTTGTCTGAGGATGATCCCATATTTAGATCCCACCGCACACTGAGGAGGTGAATCCCAAGCTGCCCAGCCCACATCACCCTGGGGCATGTGTGTGTACCTGGAAGCAAACCCCCAGTGTCAGAAATGAATGGCATCACTTCAGAAAAGGGCAAGATGGAGCACTCGGGGAGCCACATGACTCACATGGCTGAAATGATTGGGACAAATAACTTCTCTGGCTATCTCAGCCTCCACAAAGTGTTGTCCATACATACACCAAACAGTCCAGAACCACTGGAGTTTTCATTCCAGCTTAGGAAGAAGGCAGAGCTGCTCTGCAAGGAGCAGAAACAAAGGCAGTCCTGGAGGTGCTTCCTGTCGGTAGTTGCTGTGGGGGAGCCCCTCCAGGCCTGCTGGGGACATTTCCGAACGGCAATGAGAAAGCGATGCCTTCTCTGATGCCTGAGCCGGAGCTTCAGCCCCTTGTCAGGGACCCGTTGTTTCCTAAGAGGGAAGGGAGTATGGGAAAAACTGCAAAACGGGACATGAGTCTTTAACATTCGTAATCAAAGGGCATATAAACAACAACTAAATGTGCAAAAGTATCGGTCACAAGCACTTAATACCTCCATCCTACAAAGCTGTGAAATAACTCATATTGTACTTCCATAGAGGCGAATTTTGAGTACCTTGGGGCCACCCGTTAGTTTTAATTCACTTTATACAAAAATCCCTGGGAATAAAACAGAGTTGGGTTTTCCTTATCCCTTCCCTGCCGTTGGTTTCCTTCAGCTCCCCGCTACACGCCGCTGCAGACGGCAGCTGCCGGGGCAGGTCCCGCCAGATGCCATCGCAGCCCGGGCTCGGAGGCACCGCGGCTGAGGGAGGGTGTCCAGGCCGTGTCCCGGGAGGGCCGGGTTGTCCCCGCGAAGGGCGGGTTGTCCCCGGGAGGGCCGGGTTGTCCCGGCCCCACTCCGCCCGCGGGCGGTGCCGCCAGGTGCGCCCGCCCCGGCGCGGCCCCGGGGGGGCGGCCGCGGCTCCTCGCCCCTCCCCGCCGCGCCGGGAGCTGCCGCCCCCCGGCTGAAGTCCGGTGCCGCCGCACTGTGCCGAGCCGAGCCGTGCCGAGCCGGGGTGCCGTCACTCGGCGCTTCCAGCATGCTCCTAAGATGGCGGTAGCGGCGGCGGGCGGCGGCGGGGGCGGCCGGGCGCAGCGCAGCGGCTGGCTGGAAGTTTTGGTGCGGGAGCGCTGGCACAAAGTGCTGGCCAACTTGGGCGGCGAGGCGCTGGTGCTGAGCGGCGAGGAGCGCCCCGACGGCGCGGCTCACAACGGGCTGGGCGGCGATGGGACGGCGTGCCGCGGGGCCGAGGGCGGCGGGGGGCCGGCGGCGGTGCGCACCGCCTTCACCGACCCCCCCGAGCAGGTGCCCGAGGCCATCTCCAACAAGAAGCGGTGCGTGAAGGTGCTGAAGCAGGAGATGGGCGGACTGGGCATCAGCATCAAGGGGGGCAAGGAGAATAAGATGCCCATCCTCATCAGCAAGATCTTCAAGGGGCTGGCGGCCGACCAGACCCAGGCTCTCTACGTGGGCGATGCCATCCTGGCCGTGAACGGCACGGACCTGCGGGACGCCACTCACGACGAGGCGGTGCAGGCGCTCAAACGGGCCGGCAAGGAGGTGCTGCTGGAAGGTAGGGGAGCGGGGCGGCCCGGCCGTGTGTGCCCGGCGGCGGGGGGCTGTGGGGCGGGCCGGCTCGGCTGCCCAAGGGCCGGCGGAGCCGAGTCGGGGGCGAGGGGATGGCCCCGCGCATCCCGCGCTGCTCCTCCGGGCGTCTTTCCAGCGCGGAGAGTTCGCGCTCTGTGCCCCGCGCCGGGACCCTCGACGGCGTGTTATGGACACAGCCCCTCGGCAAGGGACGAGCGGGATGCCGGGGAGCCGGCCTTCAGCTTCCTGCCCTCGTATCCGCCGGCGCAGTCCCCGCAGCCCCGTCCGTGCGCGGTCGGTGGAGGCTCCGCAGCCCCGTCTGGTCCCGGCGGTGGGTCTGAGCCCTGAGCCCTCCTGCGCTGAGGCTGCCGGTGGGAGTCTGATCCCTGCAGGGTGAGGAATCTTCTGGACGTTTTCACATCTTTTCAGCCCAAGAAAGGTGGGGGAGAGTTGGGTACTGTGAGAGGAGGGGTTAAAGAAGTAAAGGAACCCCCCCTCCTCCCCTGCCATTAAGGGAATGACTTGGTGACTTTGCCCTAAGTCATCTCGAAACGCCCGACACCACCCTCTCTCCAGTTCCTCCTTCCACCTCCCTACTCCCGATCAGGGATGGGGGTGGGGGCAAAGCGGTGGAAATGAGGCTGGGGGTGCCTCACGGGCTCATCAGCCATCCCTACCTTTTCCTTTCTCAAGGGTGACTGAAAGAGTTTTGTAAAAAGCAGCCTTAGAAATTGACCTCGGAGAAAAGAGCAGACGCACCCTCCCAGGACACATGGAGGGAGGGTGTCCCCCCAGAACGGGACGGAATTTGGGGGGAGCAAGTAGAAAAGCAGAACCGGGTTCCCTCAGACCACGAGTTCATGAGGAGAAAGGCGTGCACAAACGTCTAATCCCTGTCTTTTCACAAGGACTAATTTGCTTGTTCCACCTGAGAGAATGAACAGCTTCAGAACTGCCCTTGGCGTGTGTGTGATAAAGTGATTACATATTTGCCCACAAGTTCATTTAACCGGAGGTCAATGGCATCTGAGGCATGCTGCAGTCTGCCTTCCCCTGTGCCATCGCTTTCTTGCGGGCACTCCCACCTCGCTGGACCTGTAGCCCTTTTGGTACCGCAGATTTCTTCTCGAGTGGTTTTTTTTGGTGGTTATTTTGAGGAGGAAAGGAGATGCTGCTGCTGCTGCTGCCTGGGAGGTGCAGCTGAGCATCAGCTATGAGCAGCCAACTATGGCATAAAGTTACAGAAAAAGTTTGAAAGGGAGAGAAGGTGAGAAATGTATTCCATAGTAGTGTATGCTGAGAAACTCTTTTGTTGTCCCTGTGAAAGCAAAAACTGGAGGAGTTCGTGCTCCATGAGGATTCAGGAAGCTGAGGACAATTGTGTCTCCTCTCCCTTTGTGCCCTGCAATACCTGCAGGACCAAAGTGCATCTTGCCTTCCCTTGCTGCAGCTGAGTTGATTACAGATATACCTCTGAAGTATTAACATGAACTTCTCTGGGTGCTCTGAAGTGGGGCTGTTGCATCTAAATTTTATCACTGATTTGTTTATGCAGTGTAAGGGCTTTCTGGGGTGCAGCCAGGTAGTGGCTGAGCTTTGCTGTGGCCTAATGAGTAATGTATACAGTGCTTGCAAGTCTCCCTCCCTCTGTGTGGTGCCTGCAGCATCAGCACCTGAGCACGGTGCTGCTGGGTGAGCCTTAAAAACCCCTCAGTTTTCTTCTGGGCTGGGAGTGAAGCATTTTCACCCTCCTTCACTCCTCCTTCTGACATCACAGCTATCTTGCATTCCTTTGCTCCATGCTGAGGTGCCTCAGTAGTTGTTTCTGCAATTGAATGTGTAATTAGCAATTTGTATGTTTCAGTAGTGATCTCTGTGTAGAGTTAAAATATTCTGACACTGGGCTCTGTATTTTGTCCTGTCTGTCTCTTGGTATTTCAGCAGAGTAACCAAACCAAACGTTGGCTCCAGCATTGCCTGGGAGGGCTTCTCCCTTCAGTGGGGACCCACTCCACATGAATGGCTTATGAAAACAGGCAGCTTAGAACAATTCTCTGCGATTCTATTGCCCACTTTGAAGCTCTTTCTTCAGCAGCAGCGTCTAAAATGGTATTTTTATTACTAAAGGAAGGAAAATGCAAAAGTTCTTTTTAATCTTTAAAGTATAGAAGGGCAACACTTGACTTTCCTTTCCTTACAGATAACAGATGGATTTTGCCATTTCCTGACTTCTTAGAGAGTTATATATGGCAAAAAGCAGCCTGTGATGGGGCAGGGCGAGACCCTTGTGCAGCTCCTTTCTAGACTCTTTCTCCAATTCACAGAGCAAAGCCAGCATGTGTTTCCAGGGTCAAAATGTAAGATTTACATTTTATTGAGATTTTGAGATTGGTTTGTGAGTTCCAGCCCTGGAAAGCCGAATTTGCAAAGGCATGGCAAGGTGTAAAGCACAAGAAGCACATTTCATGGTGCAGCAGGGCTCTGAGTATTGCCCAATGCATTGTGCATTCCTGGAAAGGGTCTTACCACTGAGTATTTCCTAGAGGTTGTGGCAGGGAGGATGTGTCACAATACACCCAATATCAGAGTGCTGGAGCCTGCCTGTTATATAGTGTCCTGCCTAAAACTGCTTGCTCAGTGGAATGAGGCATTTACCAGCTCAGCACTAAACTGTAGTCTCTCCTGCATTCCTGTGCAGGGAGGATGGGAGTGGAAAATCCCTCCCCAGGCCTCTGCACCCTGTGTGGGAGGCAGGGCTGGCACCCGGGTGGGTGGCAGGAGAGGAAGGTCTGTGAAGAGAAGGAATCGGGCAATGCTTCCTTTTAACACTTGCCCCTTTTCCTGCATTGATCACTGTCTCTGAGCCGGTAGAAAGAGGGATTTGCTGCAGGGTCAGGGGTGGTGTAGCTGCAGCAGCTGTGCTGGTGTGAGGGGAAGCACAGCTGTAAAGCCTGGTAGGAGAGCCCCTACTCTAACAAATTCACTATCCATGCTGGGTTGTTCTGCCTTCTCATTTTCCATCCCTGACACTTGCGGAATTCCCCTACTAAGCTAAAGTTCCTCCTTATAGGTGTGGTCTGTGTAGTTGGCTAGGGTGCCTTAAATCCAGTAGAATTTGGTAAATGGAAGGGAAATAAGGCAACAGGTGATACTGCCTTGGAAGGAGCTGTAAGGCAGAAGGTTCAAGAGGAGAGGGAGGTGATGAGGAGGAAGGACATGAGCCCTTAGAAATCATTCTGTCTCCTCATCTGCAGGGATGGAGCGCTTCTGCCTGCAGGGTTTAATTTCCTGTGAGCTCTTCATCACAGCCCGGGTGTGGGGAGCGAAGCAGGCAGAGGGAGCAGGGGTGGGGGTAGCCCTGATGTTGGGCTTGTCAGCCCTGGGTGGCTTCCCAGGGGTTCAGAACAGCAGGATGGAGCTTCTCACCAGAATTCAGGAGCGGAGAAAATTTCCCTGCATGAGAGTCAAGGCACCCTCATTGTACAATACATATTTGCAGGTGTGGAAGGAAGTTAAAATTATCCTGACAGCTTTGTACATATAATTTGTACAAATAATTATATGTACAGTTTGTACATATAATTTCCTTGTGGTTCTGTTAAATTTGGGGTTCTTTGGAAAATCAGGCACTTTGAAAAATCAAGCAGACCCTCTTGTGCTGTGTGAAGCACATTACATTAAAGTGACTCTCAAGACACCAAAGGTGTTTGTTTTTATCAAAGCATCCTGGGTAAGAGCAGTCCCTTGGTGTGCTCTGTAACCAAGCTGGTTGTGCTTTACTTGTATTCTCTATGTGTTCAGTGAAAAAAGTGAAAACTTGAAGCAGACTATGATAATGTCAAAAAAGACCCTTCCCTGTATAATGCTGTAGAAAGAAAAAGAAAGGAAAAAAAACTACATTAGTGGATTTTGCTATCTTCCTGCTATCTTTTGTCTAACTTGTTTTATGTATGTGGGTGAGCTAGTAGTGATGGTTGTGGAAGGTACCTGGTGGGAAAAGGAGCATCTTCTTAGTGCTGTTAGAATTTTAGTGGTTTTGAATGATTCTCAGTTAACTCAATTGCAAGGTCCGTGGAGAAGTGCTTTTGGCAGCCTCCCTGGGTTTGAATAAATTTCCCACAGAGAGGCATCCCCCTGCACAGTGACTTTCAGCATATGGGTAGTAGCCTGTAGTCATCTTCTGTGGCATTCTTGGGAATAAGGCACAGCTTTGAAGCAAAGAATAAGCATGATGTAGTTTGTACTGTAGTAACATGTATTATTTTCCAAACAATATTTCTGTAAGAATTGTAAAGATTCTCCTCTTCCTACCATTTTTTAATTTTCTCTGAGTGAAGCAAAGCAATCATATCTGTGTGAATTACATGCTGAAATAGTGTAAAATAGGTATGGGCTTCTTGTTGGCTGTAGTTTTCAATCTTATCTGGTTTTGTGTTTCTCTCAGTAAGGTAGTGACAACAGGAGATTTCCAAGGGATAGCAAAATACAGTATTTATCCAGAAAGTGAGTCTTCTGTGAGTATAGAGGAAAAATGAGGCACAGGGCACTTAAGTGCATATGTGACACAACTAGTTACTACAGTCAGGTCAGGGCTGTAAAGCTCAGTGATTGCTAATTGTATGCATAGTTTTCTAGTATAAGTATGGACAAAACACTTTTTTTGGGGGGGGGGGAGGGGGTGTTTATGCCAGCAAATATGCAGTTAGGGAAATGCCTTATATTTAGAAGCTGTACATTTCATGACTCATGTAGCTACCCTTGGCACACATCAGTTTGAAAGTGAAATTGAAAGGGGAAGGAGCAGGGAATCTTGTTCTAAAAGTCCCAGGTCTAAGCAGCTCCTGAGAATCTCAGTTTTGGTCGTTTCAGTTGCCTGCAGCTGATGGGGAAGGTTGAGTGGCAACACTTGATGTGTTTTTCATTGATTAGATTAGATTACAGGCTAATTTAGCAGTCCAGACAGCCTGTATCACCTTTCACAGATAA